TTGGCCCAAACACTAATATAGAGTCACCAAACACTTTCACACAAAATCAAAACTATTGGGCAAGCGTTGGATGAACACAATGCTCCAAGAACACCTGCAATTTAAAGAAAGAGGAGAAACAAGAATTAAATTATGAAAAATCTAGGTTTTGATGTGCAGGAGAAAGAGCAGGTGTATCTCCAAAGCGGTGTTTACTGCTGCCTTCGCAATAAATATCTGGCTATCGGCAATTCTGGAAGAGCTGTGATATGCATGGAGGTGACATAGCCTGGCTAAAGGCATGACATGGGAAAAGTAATGACGCTTACGAAGGAGCATGAGGTTATTAAATACACCCACTCCATATCCACTGCCTGGCTAACAGTAAGCAGAGTTAGAGGAACAAGACTTGAAGGGAATGCTTCAGGTGTCTAAATGTAGGCAGGTGGTGCTTTCTAGATGTCTTAAGACATCTACAATGGAAGGGATGATATAGAAAATACAGACAATCCAACTACCCCTCTGGAGCAGCAGATGGAGGCTGGAGTAAACTGAGCATATCTGGAATGGTACCAGATACCAAGCATTTAGGCACCGGAGTCCCTGGTGTTTCTCCCCAAACTCAGGACTTCACTACTTCTCCCAGCCTAAACATCAGAGATGGTCTCCCGTGGTGGGTTGCCGACATTCGCAGAATGAGAACTAGCTGAGGATAAAAGAGCAGCTGGTGAGTTCAACTTGTTGGAGGAGAACTATGACAAAGCCCTACTTAACCATGGACATGGGGAGAAGGTCGTAGAGAAAATATGTTTCTGGCTGTTGGTAGGGTGCTTTCAAGAGTCAGGGAAGTTCTTCTAGACCGGCAGTAAGAAGTGGGAATGGGGAGGAAGGCAGCTCTGAGGGGTGAACAGGGAAGGGATGGAAGAGAGGACCGCTGTGGACAGCACATCGTTAAGCACATGGCTTTGACTGCTACTTCAACAGGGCAGTGCCCATATCCGGGCGTAAGCATCCATTTGGCTTACAGCCTTGTAAGCCAATGTGATGTATTTCCACGTCTCAGACATGAATATCCTCAGGGGAAAATCCAGAATCTGATTACCATGCAAATCCAGCTGGGATGTAGCTCTCTTACTTCCTCCATCCCCCAATCCTTTCTTTCTCTGCCTAAAAATTACTTGGGTGTGCAGCCGTACTTTTCCGTTACTTAAGATATTGCCTCTTGAAGTATACATCTACCTCCCAGAAGTATTATTGGACTTGTGCAGATGGGTACACTCCCTTAGCTCTCTTTAATAGTTACAAGTCCACACCCTGAACTTGCCTGTCACATACTGGATCAAACAGACAAGCAACGTTCAGATCATGATTACGATCTGTCAAATCTTGTTTGATCATTATTTTACGATTCAGTAGTTCTGTTGACTCACGCTCTTGAAACGATCAACTTTTTCTCTGGATTATTTGCATGATACTAACTATGATTGTTTTATTTATTTATCTGTTTATTTTGAAAAGGTTAGTTCTTCGCAGCACGTCAAAAGGTAAATTCAGGCTCGAGGTAAAAAATTAATGTGTTAGATTCTGATTTTGCACCCTTCATGGCTTTGGCAGTTTTTTCTTAAGCAGAAGCATAAAGATATTCCCTTAAATCCTATCTCCAGAGTGAATTGCTCAGAAAAGCTGCATTAGTCTTTTTCACAAAGGTTATAATTAAAAAATATCACACTCATCCACATTACTGCATTTGGCATCCTGTAGTCAACACCACAGCTGCTAAATGTTCCATTTTTCAATCACAACCACTGTGGGGGCCTTTTTGTAATAGAGGAAATGTAAATACCACATAAAAAGATCAAAAGGTGAATCAGCAACTTATCTAAATCACAGTAGCCCCAGATAAAGTCTGCCCCATTACCATAAATAGATTACCACAAGTAATGTATGGAAAGAGTTAGTTGTGGAAGGAATCTCACATCCTTCTAAAAATTCGGTATATACCAAACTCGCCAGAGATTTTTTCAATGGTTAAAAGCTTTGCAGAGGCAGATATAAGGAAACCATTGTGAGGTATTTAGGCAGGAAAAAAAGAAAATACAGGCACTTCGACAGCTTTGCTGTTGCCTACTTCCTCTACCATTTTGCAAATTTCTCTGCCTTTACGTATACTGTTTTAGCTCCGACACGTATAATGCAAACAGATTTAATCCTAAAGGCATTTGCAGCTTGAATTTCCTACACAGGGATCGTAAATCTAGGATGGGAAGCCTGAAATCGTTAAAGTCACATATTTATAAAATCATATTCAATTAGGTTAAAAAAGTGCAATTTCTGTCATCATGTCATAAAAAGATGTGTTTTTCTCTCAGATCTACTATAAAGCAAAGCTCCCTATATTGTTACAGATAGAGGCTGTTTTCAATCAGTTACAAGGAGCAATCCAATTACTGGATGGTTTAGTGCAGTAACTGACTCCAGACTAATTTAATTTCTTTAGGTCTCTAAAGATCAATTGATCTGATTTGTTTCCCTCCCCAAAGGCTGTTTAGGAAAAAGCTGGCTTAAATACCTGGAAATGAAATACAAAGCTCTGTACACTTTCACACTACTTAGGGCGCTCGGAAAAGCTGGAACTCACGATAAATGAGTGCTCTCTTGGCCCCAGCATCACAGGATGCTTTACAGGAGACCATTAGGATCCCCGCGCGCGCACGTGCTGTGTGCTGGCCCGCTCGGGAGCAGTGCATGGAAGGTATTTTCACAGCTTCTAGATAACTATTCCATCCTCAAGAGCTCTGCAAACATGCATTTGGCCTGCACAGTCTTTTTCCTGGCAAAGAAATACTTTTTCTCCGACAGTGATCTTATAGGAATAACCGACTTTCCAACTAGACCAAGCAAGACTCATGCTGTACCATTCCATGTATCTTGTAATGCGTGTCGCAACGGACATCAACCAAGGAATTCTTCCTGTTGTCACATCTCACTTTGCTGTTTCTTTGGCTTTATATTGGATTTCTTTAAGCAATTTTGCTGGCGCTAGGATGAAATCTATAGAACCAGTGGGCACTTAGAGAATGACATCCTCATCTGCCATTTGATACTGGAACTGAAAAAAAGCCACAAACCCGGTATTTCTGGATCATATCAGATAACTTAGGAAATTCTCAAAGTCTCTTACTAGCCCTCTTCTCTGGTACACTTTTACTGTCTCATTACCTGAGGTGTTATGCAGCAGGTTTTAGTTTTTTTACATTCTGTTGTTGCCTGATCAGGGCTAAACTTTCCCATTTAAGTCAAAATAAGACCTTACCCAAACTTGGACTCTCAAATCCAGAGGTTTAACGTCATCTCAATACTTTTCCCATTCTGTTCCTTGTATTTATTGTAGGTTTCACATTTGTCTAGCTTATCTTTCGTGGCAACGTTCGTGCCTGGGCTAAGCTGCCTGTCTCAGTCTCTATTCTTACACTTATCAATAAACAAAAGGGCACTGCGGTTTATGCTCAGCATTTCTGACTCCGTGCCATGTGCTGTTATAATAAGATGTCCTCTGGAAAAATTCCCTCCGTATCCAGCACCGTGATAGTTGGTTCATCTGCACAGAGGTAACTAAGTTTTTCTCCCAGCTTATCTGTTCAGACTCTCTCAGCCCTTGCAAAGCTGTGTCGTTAGAGATTGCCTGTCTGTAAAACAGGGAAACTGAAATGTGAAAAATCAAAGTGCTTCTCTTTCTGCTGCTCCTTTCTTCACTATCACATACAAACCTGAGCTTTGGATGTCGTTTGCCTTAGTACTCTGTCAATACAGCAGGCTATGTCATTTTAATTAAATCTGTTTTGTTTTCCCATTTACAACTAAGACTTTCACTTAAGAAGCAACTTTTGACAACTTTTCAAGTGTACACTGCAGTCTACAAGCTTGCTTTCCCAAATTACTCTTCTTTCACCCAGTTACTCAATAGATCACTGATCATCCGGTCACTAGTAGGGTATAAAATATACCACTATTTCCCAGCTGTGGACCTGCTTATACCAATATACTTTTGAAATGCTGTAAAGACTTCCTCTGACTCTATGCATATGACTTCATCGAGCAGTTTGTCCCCTATATGCACCCGTGAAAAATGATTTACAGATACATCTGGATATCCCTACGTAGGAGCCTAGAGGATTTTGGCCTCTCCAAACTTTCTTTCATGATTTTGTGCTCACAGGAAAATTTGGATGTGCAATATCCATCTCCATCAAGTTCTCCTCCAGCCTAAAGGACGCAGGCAGCTTGATTTGCTTCATTTGCCAAACTATTTTACACGATATCATAAAAATGTGATGTGCTGGAGAGCTACCAAGAGATTGAAGTTTATTTCCTACTCAACTGTGGGTTAATGCTTCTGTCCCTATAGCAGCAGTTGCTCATAATGAGCTGTACATACACAAAACTCAACCATTTCCAGATAAAGGTTTGCCCTGTTGCAGCCCGCGGTACAAGTTTGGTGAAACAAAAATGGCATCTTTGTCATCAGAGTGGGAGTTATGGGATTCGTCCCGATGGCAATAATTGCTGACTTCAGTGTCTGGGACTGCTGAAGTGTATTTTGGGAAGCTCCCCTCTCTCTTTTCCACTGTGTGGAGCAGTGGGGAGCTATAAAGATGTTTTTCACAGGACCACGGCCCTTGTTTCCCAGTGACCCAATTCACAGCCCTCAGTAGGATTAAATGGCATGATAAGAAAAAAGCTTTTCATTCCCAAGTTGTAAAACTGACCCTTTCCCTGCCTCAAGAAGCCCCCTCAGGAAGATTAATATATCAGCCCCAACTGGAACAGATGTCAAAACTCAAAACAGCTCTTTCTTCACAAAGTTTATAAGTATTTTTAAAGGAGGTGGAGGAGGCTTACTATATGCAACGAGATAACATTAAAACGCACGGCTTCTCAGGAGTTGAAAGGATGCTTTTCCTACAAACTCTCTCTTCTCTTTATCTTATCTGCATGGAAAGTAAACAGAAAGTCCCCATTACCTCTCAATATCAGTGAGTCTGGAAGAGTCCCGGAATCCTTTAGCAAAAGGGTTGCTGTCAATTTTCAACTTGGTTATCTGGAAACACAGAAAAGAGCAACGCGACATGAATACGGTGTTAAGGTATTGCAGCGTACAAAGTGTTAACCAATCCGTCCTCCTGACTTCACTCCTAATTTTATCCGTGCTCCTGATGTGTGTGCACATGCTAATCTTGAGATGCTGCGAAGCTGGGGAGGCAAACCAGGCTGGATCACACACACATGGCAATGGGAAGACCGAAGGGCACAGTGGGCCAGCCTTTGTGTTACCCAGAGCAGGAGGAGCTCACCCACATATAGCATTATTGCTTCCAAACACGTTAACAGCACGAATCAGGTTGTCTTTTTCCACGAGCAACGCATGGCACCCTGCTAACATCTGAGCCTCCTTGGTGGAGCTGCACATCAGCTGGTAGGAGCCCAAATGAGGAGCCACCGCCTGCTGACCTGAAGATGTTGCTTCAGTTCAGCCCCCTTTTTTTTTTTTTTTTTTTTTTAATACCAGGTGCAAATGTTCACAGCCAGACCTACCAGCCATCATATAGGGGCAGTTTAACTGTTTTTGGCATGGAAAGAGGCTGAGGAAGGGAAGGAGGGAGGAAAAAACTTGGGGAGAACTCAAGATTTAAAGTGACAAAGCCTGGGTTAAAGGAGTAACCCCATCCAAACCATCACAGTCCTGGAAAAACAGAGCTCTTACAACCAGAACTCCCTCCTGTCTTCAAACACAGCTACAAACCTGCCCAGTGCCCACTGTCAGCCTCTGCATTCAGCCAGAGAAACCCGCTGATCTGGAGCTGCTCAGCCCCAAAGCATCAGGGCTGCCCTTAACTTTTGCAGTCAAACTTTTTGGGCATAGGTGGTGGCTTCCAGTGTGGGGTTTTTTTGAGAGCAGGAAAAAAAAAAATACGCCGTTGCCCTTGTGAAATTTTCTAGCCGTCCAACCAAATGAGATTTGGTGAATAAAACCTGAGACATCATCATCATCGTGTTCAGATTTTCCAGCCATACTTCCTCCAAGATTTAAAAACTAAACTGTAAGTGGGAGTTGGAGCTTGATGAGGGACAACACAGAACTGCTCTGCAAGGCGGTGGATGCCACCAACTCTAGCTGAAGCCCTTGAAAAACAACAGCTCTCAGCATTTCATACTGAGCAGTGATGTCAGCCTGGCTTTCCTCAAAAAAATCCCGTATCGCAAAGGCCACAACCTCATTTTTAAGAAGTGGCCCTCCAGACTCAGAAAGAAAAGGGATCTTTTCCAAATCCTCAAACAATCAAATGCTCTCATCAAACGAAGGTATTTCAAAACAGAGTGGCTTCTCCTACAAAATTTAAAAAAAAAAAAAAAAGATGACAACTGAACCCAACTTTCCATTCTGAGAAAGATCTTCTGGGAGGGACACACAGAGAGGGAGGGACAGGCTTACAAAGACAAAAGCCAAGTATTTAATTACTGGTCTGCCTCATACGCACGATGGGCAAGCTTTCTGGGGAAGGTCCTTGCTTTGAGGCACTACGTAGGAGGTGCTGCAGCTCACCTGCTGTTCCTATGGGCTGGTCAAACAGCATGGAACTTCGGTGCTGGCTGAGGGTTTGGGGCTGTCTCATCATGCAGGTACAACTGGGGGAACTACCCTGAAGACCAGCCTTGTCACAGGACCTTGCAATAGCTCAGCAAGTTAGTTAGAGTCTCATTCTGCTCCCAAGGTATCCATAAGGTCTTGACTCAGAGTGATGTCGCGAAGAGGGATGGGTTAGGGCCTCACGTACAACAAATGTTTTTATGGCAGCATTCTGAAAACTGCCTTGAAACAAGACAAGCTCTAACGAGTTCCATCGACTTAGATCACCAACACACCGAGCCAACTGCACTGCAGAACAATAAGGACGTCTATTCATCTCCTGAGCGTATTTTCACCAATCAAACTTCCATTTTCCTAATATTAAAGATTTGGTATGACATCACAAGAGAAACTTTTTGTATCCACCGAAGCCAGATGAGACTCACAATCATTTATGGCCGTATTTTTCCTGAGAGACTGTCTCACAAACAATCAGAGAACATCTGCTAGAAAGCATTTTAAAATGAAATCTGACCTACAATTCAACTCTGTGGCAGTGGTTTGACTGTTTAAATAAATGCATGCCCTTTAAATCTTAAATTATGAGATAGTTTGTTGAAAGTGTAATGTATTTAGCTTTTATCTAATAACCTCCAGAAATGTAATCAACCCCTCCTTAAAACAGTTCTGAAAGAAATGGCAAAAATGAAAAAAGGCTCCATTTTCATTAGTCATAAATAAAATGACAGCATCAACCTCTAGGGGTTCCGGAGATGTTCCATTGAGAAATTTTCCAGGACTCAATGTATGTGATTTGGGAAGGTTAGTTTAGAAACATCTCTGGTGTAAATATCATCGGTGAACACAAATCCATCCTACAGGAATAAATTCCAGGTTTAGCTGGTTTTATGCCTGTTACTATTTTGCTGGTTTCCACACAAAGTTACGTGGAAAAACTAACTGCCTGTCCAGACATTATATTCTGGAGATTGCCAGGTGCTGAATGCGTTTTCTGCAGCAATTCAGAGACAAACCTGACTTTAAAATCCATACATCCTGTTATTAAAGCCTTAAAGCAGGATGTGGGGTCTGTCACAAGGAACGACTTAATACTACTACTATTATCTTCAGAGCTTCCTTGGCCCCTTATGCAGTAGCTTCATTTTATTCATAGCATTTAGAAATTAATTACTTTTGCTTTTTTGGTGAATCCAGCGGGTACATTTACTCTGTGACGCCACCTGGCCACATGTTTGGACAGCACTCATATTTTTCTTAGCTGGGGAGAATTAGAGAGGG